TCTGGGCGAGGGTAAGGAGAGGCGGCCGGGAGGGTCCGAATTCGTTGGTGATGGGTGTGAAGATGAGTGATGTCACAATGGGCCAGAGATTGTCGGCAGCCCAACCCGAAACCAACAACAATAAAAAGCTGCCATTGATACCATCCCATCCCGATGTCTAGAATCTGATTACAGTCAGTCACTATTTTCGTGAATCAAAGCACGGGCAAATGGCGTGGGGTAACATACAGCTCGGTTGAGAACGCGCGCCTTGGCTTCGTATACTGGATCTAAGGTGCCCTTGGGATAAATGGCCGAGTCGTCGGCTGCTGTGTCAGCCAGGCTCTCACCATGATGTCCGAAACGGTCTTGCGTGGGCGAGGTACCCTTCGACTCAGGGTTGGCGTACGCGCACATGATTCAGAGACCCTCGCAATTGAAAGCGGCGTAAGTTTCTTGAAGACTGGCAAAGGCAAGGTTCGCAGTGGCGCATGGACGGGTGGGAAGGGTGAGAGAGAGCAGTGTGTACCTCTTTTCGTCTTCGAATAGTTTTTAAACAGCACATGGCGACCTATGTTGCCAGCGGGCCGCCGACGGCCATAAATACTACGAACCCCCCTCCCCCTCAATGTACACAACAAGGTGCAGATGCTTCCTACACATGTTGCGAAGTTCCATGAAGGTGTGGTCTCTGATCGAACGAGTGATGGCGCCATCGGCGGTCACCTTTGTAGCGTGTTTTCTATTGGCCCTCCGAGCTATGGGCGTGCAGTGAGGGATCGGCAAACGGATCGCTAGTGGTTCATCGATGCGCCAGGCGTCCGTCTTCACGGCAGAAGCGTCGAGTTGGTGATATATACTAAGAGCGTCTAGGACATACTGTTCCGTCTTTGGATGCGACGAAAGTGGCGTTCAGCAGGGTTTGTTTGTTCGTAGGTTGCCTTACGAGATGAGGTGGCCAGCTCCTGCCAGTCCGCGGGGTGTACAGTCCCGCAAGAAGGGGCGACAAGGATTGCGCTCCGCTAGCGCCCGCCCGCCAATGCTGTCAAGCTCTTGCCCAGAAGGTCAGCCCTGACGCTTCCGTTGCAGGCGTTGAGGCGCTGGCCAATGTACAGAAGATCATCGCAGCTCATACGCCATCGTGTTGTGCCGCTGGACCTACATGGGCATCCTAACTTCCTGTATTAATGACTGCTCCGGCAACCAACTATCAAAAATTCAACCGTCATAGGCTGCGTTGCCATAGGGGAATGGCCCCTGTGTACCCAGGGACCTCGAGATATTCGCCCCGACGCTCTTCACCGGCCTGAATGGATTCTCAAAACATGCGTTGCTAGAGGGTCTTGACCTGTACACTACGTACCCCGGGGGCACACGGCCCTGTCGCATCCTCTCACTCTCCACTACCGGGGCCATAATATCGTAATCCGCCTCTTGCTGGGGCCAGAGTTGCTGTTCTGGCGTCAATTGCCGCCTCAGCTCACCACATTCCACATCTCTCACGAACGCCGCCTCCCCATCAAAGTGTTGCCTCCTGTCGTATTGCACTCTCTCGTCGAAGTGAGGCCCATTTCTTAACTCAAAGCTGCCGTCGAGCCTCATGTCGTTTTCGATCCGCAATTGATTTAATCGATCGAGCTCTTCTTCCATCGTTCGACGTCGCGTAATATCTCTAGGCTCGACTAGACGTACGCCTGATCGAATGACATCTGGTCGTCTTCCAGATGCACCGATCACACGGTGCGCATAGCCAACGCCGTCCACGGCACGTCCTTCTAGTGCTCTTGCGGAGGCCCGACCTCTGGCCATGCCTGCACGATAAGCTTCGTCTGTTGCCAACCGTATTGCCGCTTGCGATGGCCCATGGCTCGGCGGCTGTGTCGAATGAGAGATCGAAGCTACACCCTGCGCCACTGTGTCTGACAGGTATTGTCGTTCTTGCCGATGATGGCTCCGAGACGCCCCGATGCCGTAATCCTCCGGAGTTTCACGATGTTGATGAGAATGTCGCTTACGGTTTGGACTTTGGCTTCGGGTGCGGCTCCGACGCCCTCGGCTGCGATTTCTTTGGCGCCCACGACCTGTGTGTCGCGACACGCCCGAGAGAGATGATGATGTGGGGGTATACCGAGATCCCTCACTGGAGCTACTCGAGAACGATGATGATGTGGAAGGAGACCTTGAATGATTTGCTGCTGGACGGCATCGATGATCCGTTCCGGACGCTCGGTGGCCACTGGAATCGCGCATGTTGACGCTGTTATTGGGCTTTTTCTGCGCCACACCCTGTTGATGGCGTTGCCCAGCCTGCACAAATTGGCTCTGAGTCTGAGGTGAAACTTTAGTAGAAGGGCCGTTGTGCGGACTTTGCTGCTGTACGCCACCATGCTGTGCCACGGGCGGCCCAGGCGGAGCATTTGATTGTTGGCCCTGATCTCGAGCTTGGCCTTGCCCTGGCCCCAGTGGCGGTGCCTGCCGTTGTGCCTGTGTCTCTGTGCGCTTCTCTATGCGCTGGTGCTGAGGTTGAGCCAACGCCTGCGGGTGTATACGTGTTCCAGGCGGGCCACGTTGCGCTTGAGCATGGGCCTGCTGCCGGGCGTAGAGACCCTGCGGCAGGAACATCGTTGCCTCGCTGGCATGTGGACGCTGTGTTGGCAGGTTCTGCTGTATCATCATCATGTCGATGGCATTCAATTCGGGTCGAAGAAGTCGCTTATAGAAGGCAGTAATGGATAGCTGCTCCCGCTTGCGGTTGTTCTCCCGGGCCTCTTCCTCGACTGTCCTGAGAAGCCGTGGCCTTTGGTCTTGTGGTGGCACTCTTGCGTCCATCTCTATAATCCCTAGAATGCTTTGAATGAAGGCGGCTCTCGGCGGTGCACTTGTCGATTGATTTTTCCTTGATCTGGACCAGCTCATAGTAAAATCGCTGGTCGTGCTCACCTTCCTGGAGCAGCTGCAGGGTCTGGTCGAGGTGCAGTCGTTGGGCCGGCTCTAGGGCGTGCTTCTTCTCCCAGAGCTGGCGGTGTTTATGCTTCAATCGGAAGACTTCGCCCGCGGCGGCCTCCTTTGACATTTCAACTCTTGTCCTAGTTGCCTTTTCCCAGTTGGGCTTTCTACGGTTACCTCCCTCATCGACGTCTCCCGGATCATTGAGTTTTTCGAAGCGGAAGACCAAATAGTCGGCGAAATTTTCGCGATACTCAGCCTCTTTCTGACTGTCATCGCGAATATCGGAGATTACGACATTGGTTTGGAAAGCCGGAGGGATCTTGTCATACGGTGGAGGGAGAGCAACCTGGTGCGGCGGTCCTTGCACCTTTTGCATTCTAGCCACGCCGTATGGGCGAGCAACGGCTGGGGTAGTTTGAACACCCTGTAGTTGCTGTGCGCCTTTCGAAACGGGTCGAGCCGAATGCTGGGGAGATGAGCCGAAGCTTGATTACTCCGTGGTCAGCCATAGCTAG